AACCCGACACAATCAAAATGTCCACAAATATTGAGTCCAACTCTTTGTCCAAACGAAGACATATTATTGGCATTGAATCCAAAGTCATCGGAAAGAAGAAGACTTTAATCAGATTATTAGAAAATGGAGGCACTGTTGAGGAAGAGGTCAACGATAGCAACAACTGTTGTATTAGTGATGAAGACTTACTGCGTTTGGGTGATATTGGACTTCAGGTATGATTTATTTATAATTATAATAATTTTATTCATTAATGAATTTAATTTTTTAGATTCATAAACATTACGGAAACGCAAGAGATATAGAATGGGGTCTAAAAGGGGGCCAAATATTTATGCTTCAGTCGAGACCCGTAACTAATTTAGACAACTCTTACACCGATTACGAGATTATGCATGAATTAGATACCGCACATCCTACCGAGTTTGAAATTTATTCACGCGCTCATTGGGGTGAAAACTATCCTGGTGCATCATCATGGACATGCATACAATGGATTTGGGCCAATAAAAGCAGCTTCTTTGTATGCATACTAATTATATATCAAATTAATTACATTGTTTACAAAAAATTGGATATAATTTTAAATTCAATATTTGTTTCTAAATTCAGCGAAGAGAAGTGAGTAGTGGTATATCAATAGAAGAAGATTACAATCCATATTTCGATATAATGGGAGTGGAATACAATCAAATAATGTTCAATTTGACCAGTGTAAGTTTGACCAGTACAACATCATATTTAATGCCAAAATTCATTAATTGTTACATTAATTACAGGGAATGATGGGTCTATTCAACAACTACCCGGAGTCAAAACAGGCGCAGACAATGGTGTTGGCCTTCTTCGGGCACCACATCGACGACACGGATGTGTTGAGTCATTTCCGAAAGAAACGATTGGAGGCCAAAGGCATGTCATTGTTGGCCAAAATGAGTTTTCCATCGTTTATCATAAAAGGGCTTTTGTTTGGACCCAAGAATCTGATCAAAACTAAGGAAGAATTCATGGATATTAAGAAATACAGTTTAGTCGACAAATTGAAACCATACTCCAATAGTAAAGATATAATGGATAAAATTTTTACCGAGTGTTTTATGATATGGGAAACATCTATGAAAAATCACGGGGGCGTCTCTTTTGGGTCGTCAATTAAAAATGCAATTTTGAGATCTATGCTCGAAAGCTCAATGAGTTAGTATTGATTGAATCATACATACCATCATTCACATTATTCAATATAACAATTTTAATTGATTTATACTTATTATAGAGGATAACCCAAATTTGGACTCGGATTTCAATTTATTGATCTCTTCGTGTAATGATGTGATCAGCGCTGAAGTGCCAAAGATTTTACGTGAAATCGCAAAGTCTATTAAAGACAAGCAGTGGTTCCGACAATTGAGTGATGAGGAAGCGCTTCAAGTGTTGACCACAGGAAGCGATGAGACATCCATTAAATTCAGACAATTTCTCGATAGACACGGACACAGAGGGTATCGAGAATCAGATCCTATGCATAAGCCATGGAAAGGCAATCCAATGCCTTGTGTGAAGACTATTAAAGTAAATATATTTATATTAATTGAATAGTTTTGACTGAAATTAATTTATGGTATAATTATAGACAATATTATCGGGAAATGAATCACAATTTGAAATTAAAATTGAAAAATCTGTCGAAGAAGTGATCGATGAACTGAAGACACCATTGACTCCATTCAAGAAACTACTTCTGAAAAAGTTTTTCCTTCCGTGGACTCGAAGAGGGATTGGATATCGAGAGCTCTCCAAGTATTTCATGATTTGGATGAACAATCAATTTCGGGACGCCTTCTGGTATTTGTCTCAACAAATGGTTAGCGAAGGATTGATCCCAACTGTGGACACATTTTTTTACCTCACGATGACTGAAGTGGAAGCGCTATGTAATGGACAAAGAGATCCATTGATATTCTCGAGAGTAAGACAACGGCGAAGACTTTATCCAAAAATGGATAAATACAAGTTCGAGGAGTTTATTAAAGGACCCGAAATGAAGCCCAGAAATGTACGCAATTGTAAATATTTTTTAATTATAGGTTTTAATTAATTTACTGTTTTAATATTATAGTTTGAGGACCGGATTATACCTCCAGTTCTGACCTCAGGTATGGTTCAAATGACGGGAACACCAGTTAGTAATGGATCCATAAAAGCGAGGGTTTGTGTGTCTGAAGACATTACAGAAGCCGATAATATTCAGGTAATTATTAAATATAATTAATTTTAATAAATGTATTATAATATGAATGATGTGATGAATAGCCGGGAGATATACTGATAACGTACTCGACGGACATCGGTTGGAGTCCATACTTCCCATTACTTTCGGGTATAATCACAGAAATCGGTGGAACGATATCTCACGGGGCAGTCATTGCCCGCGAATACGGGATCCCGAGTCTGATAGCAGTGGAGGGCGCGTGTCGTGCCTTCAGGACCGGCGATATCTGTCTATTGGACACTAAGACACAGACCATCACTAAAATAGAGTGAATAGTTTATACTTGAAATTTTAGAATTTATATTATTTAAACCGGAAATTTTATATTTATTTGTAGTAATTGTTTTATAGAAATATTTATATGTTTTAATTACCATTAACATTTTTAAAAACTAAATTCTATTTTTATTATTCATGTATTAATCAATTATTATTAACATTGTATAAATAAAAACTACATTTTAAAAAATACTTTGATTTACTTAACACAATCTAACCAAAGTAGCCATAAGTTATGAAATGATCTAAAATTAATTTATATTACGATAAAAACTTAATTAATAATTAATTATATAATAATTATATATTATATAATAAACACGTGACATCAGAAAATTTATTCCGAGTTCAAATGTACATTGCGCCATCATTTAAATGTAATCAGGGTACACAACTTAAATTCCTATTCCAACCCCCCTATAAATCCCTACTTGAATGCAATTGTATGATAAAAGGTCACATTTTTTGATTGAATATTCGTTGCCAACAACTGCAACATAACTAAAACTTACAAATGAACTTATTTATATCAATTTATATAATAAATAATGGTACTAATAATCATTTAATTATAAGTGCGGGGTCAGATTAAGATATTAGCATGATCAAAGTGCGCCACTGATATTTTATACCCACACAAAGTGTAGGTGTTTTATTTGCAATTGCCCAGGACATTATTTCACACAGCTGTATGAATATAAATTTAATATAATTATATGTAGCAAACACGCGCTGTCTTTCCACTATAACCATAGTTAGTTTATTGACTGTAAGGACATGTGTTCTCACAAGTCCTAAATTTTAAAAGTTATATAATTTTATTTAACGACACAAAACATGTTTACGTTATAATTATTGCGGTAAATGTGAATCAAGTTAATTATTTTAGTTTTGTTATCATGTGCTTAATTAAATGTCAATTTTTATTACTTTCAGTGTATAAATAAAAAGTGTATTTTCAAAATTAATAAAACAATAAACATTCATAGATGGAGACAATACCATACACATCCNAATTAATAAAACAATAAACATTCATAGATGGAGACAATACCATACACATCCGGTGTAAGCTTTAATACAGGGAATGCTATCATATGGTGTTTATATTGCTTTATTAATTTTGAAAATACACTTTTTATTGATACATTGAATGTTAATCTAACTTAAACCCAAGTATACGATTGTACTGTAAGTATACATTGAAACCAAATGTGCCTCAGAATTGATTAGATATGCCATTAATGTATAATATTTTATAATGAATTGATTAATATTTAATGGCATTTCAAGGATAATAATTTTATCATTATGCAAAAAGTAAAGTAAACTCTAATAACACTATTTTATAGAGTGGGAGAGCTATTGGGGGAAAGAAATTAATTGATTATATAAGACATACCCACAAATGTTTTAGTTGTTATGTGTTGTGACAAAAGTGGTTCACAATTATGGGAGCGTTAATATCCGTACCATTTATTGTATATTTCAATAAAGTGGTTGAAATTAATGGCCAAATCAACGGCCGATGGTTTAAGTATCTGAAAGTGTTGTCCACTTTGTGGTCACAGAGGAAGGCGAGGAAGAAACACAGAATTCATACACACAATGCCCTAAGCGATAGGGCACAGGACGCGGGTGTGTTGCCATTCAAACATGAGTGGGATTATGATTTACCGGCACAGGTATGTTGTCATTAGGGTTTATGTTGTTTTTAGTTTTTAAGTTTCAAAATTTAATACGTGATGTTTATATTAAATACATAAAATGTTTTATTATAAATATTTTGCAAATATATCTTGTAAATATAAACTTTTTAATACTTGTAACTAATATTTTTCATAATAATTAAAATTTGAAAAATTGTGGATTTTATTTATGTTTTGTATATTTTTTTATTAATAGACAAAAGCCGAGGATGTGTTGATATATGGCGTGAATTCATCGAAACAAAGCATTTATATTGCAATCAAATGGAGACCAAAAGGAATGAACGATAAGATCAATGCAACCATTAGTTTGAGATTTGATGACAACAACAGTAATAGCTATACATTAGAGGAGGACTCGGAGGTCGAGTACCGGAGCAATGAATACAGAGTGTGTGGACTCGGCTTAGAGATATCGGTACTAGGTAAAGGAAGTTCTTTAGCGGTTCTCAAGAGTTTGAGTGAAGATTTGGTTAAAGAGAAGTACGAAAACACATTCAATGTTCCGAATGGTGTTATTGTGACCACAAATGCTTATCAAAGACTTCTTAACGATAATAAAGATTTGGTTAAAAGTATTGAAGACTTGGAAAAGTCGACTCAATTGTCAACAAAGGATCTGAAGACTAAATGCGAGAATTTAATGGACTTAATATCGAGTCATAAATTACCTGAAGATATAAAACAAGAAATAAAAGTGAAATTAAGTGAGAATTTCAGTGATTATGAGAAGAGATTATTTGCCGTCAGATCTTCGGGCGCTTCGGAAGACTCGGAGGAGATGTCAGCCGCCGGACAAATGACTACATATTTAGGAGTGAAAGGATTGGATGAGATGTACTCATCAGTGATGAAGTGCTGGTCTTCACAGTTCTCTCACATCGCATACGAGTATA